TTAGGATTTATAAATTTTTATATACTTCCGTAAATTTTCGTAAGTTTTTACGGTGCGTAAGATATACGTAAACCAACATAAAATTTTTACGTAAATTTACGATTTTCTTACGCACCGTAAGATTTACGTAAGTTTACGCTAAATTTTACGTAGGTTTAGGATTTTCTTATGCACTGTAAAAACTTACGAAAGTTTACGCATATATATTTTTGCTGATGATATTAATAAAAAGATAATTAACCATTTATCTCATATCCTAAAAAATCATAATTAGAATAATCTTCTGGAAGATCCCAAATATCATCATCCACTTGTTTATTGGAGACTTCCTGATTTGGGAAACTTTGAAGGTGAGGATGTTTTTGTGAAACATGTTGAGTTAATGCATGTGATTTTGAAAATTCTCTATTGCAATGCTCATACTGCTAACGCATTTTGAAAGAAAAAGAGAAACCCTGAAAGAAAAGAGAAGAAAAGAAAATAAAAATGAAGAAATGGAAAAATGATAGTAATAAAGCAATATTGATAATATTAGAGTCTAATATTTAGAAGAATATTGTTTAAATTGGTTTAAATCGAATACTATCGATATTAATTGCATTATTAATATAAATCAGTTTAAACTATTTTGGCCTAGCCAAATTTTTTTTTAGCTTTTAATTGATATTTCTCAACACCTGTCTATTCAATTTTGGTAATTTTTTTTCATTTTAATTCTACATACTTGCAGAATCATAATAAAAAAAATTTATTGAATTTGAATATATAGATATTAAGAAAACATCGTTTAAAGATTTGTAAAAAAATTTAAAAAAGTTGCAATAAATTTATTTATTTAAACTTTAATTGATAATTGCTCAACAACCATCTATCTAATTTCAATGAAATTTTTTTTGTTTTGATTCTGCAAGTTTACAAGATTAAAATAAAAAAAATTAACTAAAATTGAATAGACAGATGTTGAGAAATAACAATTAAAAGTTAAAAAAAAATTTGGCTGCAGCTTTTTTTTACAGATATCTAAAATTTAAACGAAGATTACTCAGCGCTTATCTAATCTTATTCAATCAAATTTCTTATTTTAATTCTATAATTTGATAGAATTAAAATAAAAAAAATTTGAGTGAATTTGATTAGGTAAGTGCCGAGTTATCTTCATTCAAAGTTTAGATATCCAAAATAAAAAAGCTGCGGCCAAACTTTTTTTCAGCTTTTAATCAATATTTCTCAGCATCTTTCTATTAAAATTCAATAAAAAAAGTTTTTTTTTTTAATCCTTCATACTTGCAGAATCATAATAAAAAAATTTCATTGAATTTTGATAGATGGGTGTTAAGAAATTATCATTTATAATTTCAAAAAAAAAAATTTTAACAATTTTAGATTTTTTTTTCCAAGATATTTCAAGCTTTTTTAAAACTTCTAGCAAAGGTTTCTCGATAATCACTAAATCAAATTTAATGAACTTTTGTTTATTTTAATTTTACAAATATATAGAATCAAAATAAAACGGTTTACTGAATTTGATCGAATAGTTATTAAGAAATCGTTGCTAGAAGTTTAAAGAAATTTAATGTTTTGGCTTCGGAATTAGATTGACAGTGATCTTTAGCCCAGAAACCCACAGACGGAAATTATGTAACAACGCGATAAATCCCATGTACAAGTAAAATGACAAAACAAAAATAAGTATTTTCATTTTTTACATGATGATAACTTTATTCAATTTTTTTTACATACGATTACTGTCATTAGATTTAATTAATACACAAATATATAAAATAACGGATTTTTGTTGTTTGAAGGTAAATAATTTTTTTTCATTTTTGAAAATGTCAAACAACTCAAACAACTCACCTACTAATACAATATCTAATACTGCTAACCTTTCTAAAACATCCAATACCGAAACAACTAATGCTGATATTTCAACATATATTACTAACCCTTTTATTAATTCTGATAATATCACTAACCCTCCTACTCTCGATGATAATAATTATTTGATTATAATTCTTCAGATTCTATTGCAAGCGTTCATAGTATTTTTTCAAGAATGAAAAATAATCAACAACAACCATCTTAATCTCAACAACCATCTCAATCTCGACAACAACCATCTCAATCTCGACAACCATTTCAATCTTGATAGCCATTTCAATCTCGACAGCCATTTCAATCTCAACAGCCATCTTGATCTCAATATTTTTGCCATTCTTCTCCAGAAAATAAAAATCGATCTCTATCTCCACAACGAGATCGATCATATGAAAGATCAACCAATCAAAATCAAACATGCAAACAAAATGGTAACTATTTTAAGTGTTTTTTGATTTGAATGTATTTTTTTTGTTTTGAATATTTTTGAATAGAAACAACTTTTTTTTTTTTTTGAAAATTTTTTTCTTTTTTTTCTCTCCTTTTTCATTGGAGATCACCCTCATGGTAGTCAACTTAATAATGCAGGTAATAAATGGGAGATACTCAAGCAAAACAGATACTTGTATCTGTTAGTGAAGGAGCTTCGCCGAGATGTAAAGGAGATCAAAGATGAATTAAAGCAGCAAAGAAAAGAAAAGAAAAACGATCTTTCCTCTCAAGTACTGGATATAAGTGGCTCTGGCTTTGCTTTATTTAACTATAAGCTGTAGGCAAGTTCTAAACTATACAATTTAAATTATAGGATATATATACAAATGTAGTAAAACGTTTATTTCTGCAAAATTTATATCTGTCTCAACAAATAATCAAAGAGTCCTTAAAAGACTACCTAGACAACAAATATGCCAAATTTAACATTAGCACTAATGAATTTATAAACCATTTTTATATGGAATGGCTCAGTGGAGTATATTAATTTCTCACGTTTATTATGTATAAGATATTGGTTATGCAACAATTAATATCATAAAATTTGGTTTGTCAGAGCAAATGGTTGGCTGACATGTGCTGCTATGCAGTACATGTCAGCTAGCTATTTGCTCTGACAAACCAAATTTCATAATATTAATTGTTGCATGACCAATATCTTATATATATTATTTAATTATTATTTTTTTTAATATTCATTTAATTTTATTTATACTTTTATAACAATAACATTCATTATTTTATTTTACCAGTTGCTGGCAAAAATGAAAAATTACCGAGACGCAGTGTTCCAAAATGTTAGAAATTCAATTTGGAAGGTTTTTGAAGTTGAAAAGCTCTCCTTATTGAAAAGTAATGCTGGTGCATCCGAGATTGTGAGGTGGAAGCAAAGTGCTAAGGCTGCCGATTGCTTCCGCTCACTTTTTGTACAAAATAAAAGTGGCACCTACTGGATTGATTTGATTGTAAGGAATGCCTTCTCTACAGTTGCGGTACCTACCTTGACCCACTATCACTGTGCGTTTATATTGGCCATGTGCAATATAATTCTAAACCCTCAGTCACAAAGTGTCAAATATATGGGAAAACATATGAAACGTCATGTAGAAAAGTTTTTGGTAAGTGTTTGTCATATATCGCTTTATATCTACATTGTAGAGTGATTACAACAGTGGCAGTCCCTCTTATGGTTCTGCCGAAGCAATAATGGACGAAGAGCTGGAGGCTAATGAATATAGGTCTCGAATGAACTATTCTCAGACTGATTACGTACCTGAACCATTATCATGATCGGGCTCCTCAATGCAATATTCAGAAAAGGAAATGGATGAAGCGTTTGGGGTCTATGAATAGTGATGGATTGGGTGTTTGTTTGTTTTTTTTTTTTTTTTTTCTTTCTTTTTCTTAATACTATTATAAAGTTTTATATTAGCTAATTGCAGATTGATTAGTATTTTCTAATTGTATTGTTTATATTTGATAACAATGCTAATAAAAAATGAGATTGCATTAATATTGAATTGATAGATAGTTTGCTTTTAAATTTATTATTTATAATATATATGTTTATTAAACTTTTAATAAATTAGAGTTAATTGGTCTCACCTTTAATATTAAAAAAAAAAAATAATAATAAAAAAAATAAATTAGAGTTAATTGTGCATTCGATTTTTATAGTTATTTATTAATTCAAATCAATATCGATTACTATCGATAGCTATAAATCTGGATAATTATCGATTATTATTGATAGCCATAAACTAGATAGGTATTAATTACTTTCTAAAATGATTAGAATTGACAGGGGTGATTAATATCGATATATATCTGTTTGGTTAGTAATTGATATATATCTATATATAAATTTTGCTGATGATAAGAAGTAAAATGATTCTTAAATTCTAGCATATTCCAACATCTACTTAACTACTAACAAAATTGATGCCACAGATATTTTTTTTTTCTGATTAGAGAGAAACAGAGGGTTTTTACTAGCCATCAAAGGTCTAACTTTCAAATATCTATCTAACAATCTAACTAGACAAAATCTACTTGCAGTAGCCTTAATGGGCACAAACTTTCTATTTGCAAATGAGTTATTCTTTGCTCTTCTAACCCTAATCCAAACCAAGCCCAACCTTACCTCTATATCATTAAACCTTAACTTATACAACTCCTCTAGTCTCCTTATCATTCTAAAACCTAGGGCTACCAAAGCCAAATCTCTATACCAAAAAACTGGATCCACCTTCTCAGATAGAAAATCATAATACCTCTTCAAAACCTTCAATGGAAAAGGGTCTCGAGGCCAATCTGTAACTTTACTCTGAGCCCTCACCAATCTAATACCTCTTATCACCTCTTTTACCCTAAAATTCTTAGTTGGGTTACTAAAACCTTTCTCTTTATACAACCTCATAATTGCACTAACAAACTTTTAAATCTGTGATACCGAACTTGTCAATTCTAACCAACCCAAGAAAGCCCTAACCATATCAATACTCGCTAAGCAAGCTACTTTACTAACACTCTTGCAAAAATTATTAAAGACCTACTGGGCCTTAAAAAGCCTCAATCTATAATACTTATTCATAGCCCGCATAGCTAAATTCTCTGCTCACTCTAGCCACAACCCGACTAATCTATGTTCACGGCCAACAGACTCCAGGCCGGATTGTTGCAAGATTCTCTTTAACCTGACAGACCTAAAACAATTATCTCTAAAGCCGAAAGTAACTCTACAACTTGCTTCGGAGCTTCGAGAAACATCAGCCACCAAATTGCCAAAACCTATATTAGAAAAATCAATACCACTCTGGCTCTGTACTCCTAACAGTGCAACAAACCCCAATAAATTAGACTGAAAAGAGGACAAGTATAGTTCACTTCCAAGCTCTAGTTCTACATGAAACAGTCAACTGCTTCCAAGTTCAGACAAAAATAATAGCTATTGAACTGACTTTTCTTTGCATTCAGATGATTTGCAAAATGATCTATCATTTTTGGTCCCTACCTGATTTCCAAATTCTGATACACTTGATTGTCCAACTGCCAATCTTCTACATCCCAGACCCTTATAAGGTAATTTGCTAGATTTTCCTTTTCTGATATTCATCTAACCTCATAAACCCAAATATCGTTTACTACACAAAACTTCTAAAGGAATCTGGCAATACCTTTCTGCCATGAGCAAGTCCCACCACAAGTTACTG